CCCCCGGCTCCCTCCTGGACCCAGCTCTGATTTTATGGAGTTACTGGTAGCACATAAAAGCAAGATGCATTTGGGCAAGTCTAGGGTACCAGATAAAGAGTTGGCCAAAGCATTCTGTCGGCTATTGTACAGAGAGGCAAGGAGGGGGGGGAACAAAAATCTGTCTGCTAATGCCCCAGACTTCTCCCCTCTCATCCTAAAAAGGGATAGAGATTTGAAAAATTGGGTGAAGATAATCAGCAGTAAACATCTGAAAGTGTAGGTTTTTGACTTGTGTTTATCTTTCCTTCTCAGTTTCTACATCAGAGAAAGCAAAAGGCTTTTGAATGCTTTATATACTAGCATTTTTACACTTTTTTTTTTTCTTTTTCTTGGCAACAAATAAAAGCTTGGCTCCTACATCAAACCCTCCAGAGCCCAGTCAGTAAACCTACTGCCAAGGTTATTTCATGACTTATGTGTTAGGGGAGAAAAGGATTGTTGCAAGGTAGAAATCACAAAAAAAAATACTTCTTGCTCATGGGTGCAGGGTGGTTCAAGAGATGGGCTAGGGGATGTGGTATCTTTTGGCTCCCTCTAGCTTCAGAAGGGCACAAGCCAGGACCAGCAGAAGCTTTGCTATTGTGCACAGGCACGCGAGCACTTTGGAAGGAGTAGTAACAGGGACACTGTCACCACCTCCCAGCTCTGCGTTACCACCCTGCTGTCGGAAGTTGCTCTGCCCCAGAGCCAGCAGAAGGGAGGCTGAGGGCGCTCCACAACCTGCTCCAGCGCAAAGTCAAACCGCCCCAGCGGGCTGCCGGAGCAGACAGGGCGTGCGCCCGTCATCCCGCAGCATCAGCCACAAGACCCTGTCCATCTGTGCCTCGGTCTTTCGTGATGGGAGTTTATCCACTGAACGTCCAGCAGATTGGACTGTCTTCCCATCTTCTACTTTACTCGCCCGTGGGTCCCCCCCATGTCACCCCAGCGTCGTTACTCTAATGCATCCAAGCCGACCTACAGCTTGTGATCCGCCCAGAACAAGAACCGTCTTCTTTAATGCCTTTTTTTTTCCCCGCATACTGGGGCACTGAATCTAAGCCAGAGCTCCTACGCCCAACGCAGGCACAAACAGCCCCGCACGGCAGAGGGCTGCTGCACGCTCCAGTGAGGAGCGCTAGCGATCGCGGTCTAGCATTTGATCAGGAAATACCCTCGATCACAAATACCATCACCCCAGGCGGCCACCTGAGAAAACAGGACGAGGAACAAATCGCGGTGGAGACAGAGGTACCGTTGCGGCCCTAGAGGCGATCCCTCGAACTGAGGCGGTAGCGGATCAGCCCAGGCCAAAGGAGGGCAGAAAAGGAAGGAAG